GGATGGCTCAAGCCTGCAGGCAGTGGCCAGGAGCACATCTCTGTATGCTATGGCTGGCTGAGAGACTGTGGGACTAGGAAGCCTTGTCTGGCTCTGTGTTTGTGTGTTTGGAACTTTTTTTTAAAGCTTTCTCAGGTCCTATATGGAAATATGTGCCCCCCACATTGGACACCCTATGTAACAAGTCTTTTTCTGTCCTACCAGCCAGCTCCCAAATAATGACACAGGGACTCCTTATTAATTATGAAAGGTTGGCCTATAGCTTAGGCTTGTTCCAAACTAGCTCTTATAACTTAAATTAACCCATTTATATTCATTTATGTTCTATCACATGGCATTACCTCTCTTCCATTTGCACCTCCTGCTTCTACTCTGTATCTCCTGGCATCTCCTGCATGCCTAGATTCCTTCTCCTCTCCCTTTATCTCCCTGGAAATCCTGCCTAAACCTCCTGCCTAGCTATTGGCTGTTCACCTTTTAATTACAACAACCAGCAATACATCTTCACTCGGCTTACAAATATCCCACAACATTTCACTTTGTGTACTGTTGAGACCAGCCCCAGGACTTCATGAGTTATGGGAACACACTCTACTAACTGAACTGCATTCCTAGTTCAGCCTTGAACTTCTGACCCAGCTGCCTCCATTCCTTTGTTTTGTGATTACAGGGATACACAATAATGCTTGGTTATATTTATTATTTATTTACTTCACACATGTGCACACCTTTCATCTTACAGGCCTCAGACTTTTTCATTGAAATGATTATACATTAATAATTGCTTAGAAGAAATATTAGAGAACCCTTCTGCATTTGGCCCAGTTTTCTTTAATAGCAACATTTTACAAAACTATAACAATTGACATGATTGCAATTTACCAATTTCATTCAAATTGCCATAGTTATACTTGTATTGGTGTATATGTACTAAGATCGGTAGGATGTTGTCCAGTGCAGGTTCACATAGCCACCAGCAGAGTTATCTTTCTACCCAACATCACCAAGAACCTTGGTGCTGGCCTTTTACCAGCATACCTGCCTGCCTCCTGTGCCTCTGTTCCTTCCCAGTTCCTACCAAACTGCCTTAACGTCTACAATTCTGTCACTTGAGAATGTTGGGCCAAGTGTGATGGTTAACACTTATAATATTTCTGATTCTAAAAAGGCAGAAAGCAGGAAGCCTTAGAATTCCAGGCCAGCCAGGCCTACACTGGGAGACCTTGTCTCAAAAGAAAAAAAAAATTAGGCCCACTTCTATAATCCCAGCACTTGGGAGACTGAGGTAGGAAGATGGCTACAAGTTTGAAGCTAGCCTAAGCTACACAGTGAGCCCAGGACAGTTTGGGCTGCCATGTGAAATCCTGTCTCCACAAATCAGTGATTTAAAGGGAAAAACTGCCATACAAGTGTAATAATACAGTACACAACCTTGGAGGTTGGTTTCTCTGGCTCAGTGTAATTTCCTGGAGAGTCATCCAAGTGGTTGTGGCTATAAATAGCTAGTTTCTTTTCATTACTAAGTAGCGTTCTATGGTTTGTATGTATTGGATTGTTTGAGCATTCGCTTTATTAAAGGGTATCTGAGCTGATTCCAGTTTTGGCTCTTATAAATAAAGCTGCTATGAACATTTGTGCAGATCTTTGGGTGAGCATAAGTTTTCTTTTTTCTGGGACAAATGCCCAGAAGCTCCGTTGCTGGATCATATGGTAGCTGCATGTTTAGTTTTTAAAGAACTGTCAGGCTGTTTTCCATTGTAACCTTGCCACTTTACATTCCCACCAGCAGTGCATGAATGATCCAATTTCCCTGCTTCTTCACTAACACTTGGCATTGTCTCTATTTTTAGTTTGAACCATTCTGATACACGGGTGATAAGATTTCATTGTGATGTTGATTGCATTTCTCTAGTGTTTAATAACGTTAAGCATCTTTTCATGTTATTTGCCATCTGAATATCCATTTTTTTGTGAAACATCTTCATGTTATTTGTCCATTTCTTATTGGATTGTTTGCTATTTTACTATTGCAATGATATCATTATATATACTAGATTCTAGTCCTTGTTGAATATGTGGTTTGCAAGTTTATTTTCCCCCAGTCTGTAGCGTGTTTTCATCCTCTTCTTATGGATTTTCATAGGAAAATCTTTTTGGGAGATAGGGCCTCCCTGTGTAGCCCAGGTTGGCCTTGAACTGGTGACAAACCTCCCATCTCAGCCTCCTAAATGCTGGGATTATAGACATGGCAGTCATGCCTGGCACAATTTTTAAAAAGATTTATTTATCCTTATAATACGTGTATGTGTGTGCCTGCATGATTTTGTGTGCACCAAGTGTGTGCAGGTGCTAGAAAAGGCCAAAGGTGTTCATCCCCTGGACCTGGAATTACAAGTGGTTGTGAGCCACCTGATAATGGATGTGGTAACTGAATCTGGATCCTCTGCAAGGGCAGTAGAGACACTAACCACTGAGACATCTCTGTTGTTCCCAAGAACAGGAATATTTTAAGATCTGATAAGGTCTAGTTTGTTTGTTTGTGTGGTTAGTTGGTTGGTTTGGGGTTTTCAAGACAGGGTTTTTTTGTGTATTTCTAGCTGTCCTGGAACTCTCTTTGTAGACCAGGCTGACTTCAAACTCAAAGAGATCTCTCTGCGTCAGCCTCCTGCGTGCTGGGATTAAAGGTGTGTGCCACCACTGCCTACTGATCTGCTTGGTCCCACCTCCCAAATACTGGGATTACAGCATGGCCCACCACACCTGGCTTACTTTTTCTTTTTTGGCTTTGATTTTAGTGTCAAGTCTAAAAATCCTTTGCCTGCTCTAGATTCTGAAGAATTTCTTCTAATTTTTTTCTTCTAAATAGCCTTGAGTCAGGCACACCTTTAATCCCAGCACTCGGGAGGCAGAGCCAGTCTGATCTCTGTGAGTTGGAGGCCAGCCTGGTCTACAGAGCGAGATCCAGGACAGCCACCAAAACTACACAGAGAAATCCTGTCTCAAAAACAAACAAAAAAACATTCTCACCACTGAGCTAAACCCAAGAGCCATGGGATTTTAGTGCCAATGTGTCTCCTTCTGTATAAGAAACGCTGGCCAGAGTCCTGTCTTCATTGAGTTATCATGCTGTTTGAAGATCACTTATGGATATGTAATAGCTAATCGAGGAAGTGCCAAAAGGGTAGACTGTTAAAGATATACCACAGACTTGATTTTAACTGAATCATCAATCTTTGATGGAACTAGTTTCTCTTCCTTTCTTTCTTCCTTTCTTTTTCTTTTCTTTTTCCTCCCTGGTTCTGGGGATAAAAGTCCAGAGCCTCAAACCAACTGTGCTAACACTTTACTACTGAGAAACCCAAATTCTGCATTTTATCTGAGCTTGTTGTCAGCCATTGCTAATGCCACCCCATCCATGGCAGATCTCACCAGATCAGGTCTAAGGGAGGAGCTGCTGCTGTGTTTAGAGAGAAGACTAGTATGTTGGAAGCAGAGTCAGAGGATCTGTGTCATATGGCTCTCGTGGACCACTATTATGATTTTGGGTGTTACAAACATGAAAAGCTTTTTGCAGATTTTTGACAAACAAGATGTGCTCCGGTTTATGTACTTAAGGAATTTCTGGCTACTGAGAGGACACCACACTGGGAGTGAGGATCTCAAAAGTACAGACATAGGTGGGAAGCTCTCGCAATACTTCAGGCAATAGAGGTCGGTGGTTTCCACCAGGACAAGCCAGGTGCAGCCTTCCAGCATCTGGGAGGCTGAGGCACAGGATCTTCAAGTCTAACCTGGACTATATAGTGAATTCCAACTCAGCTTGGGCTGCGTAGCAAGACTCTGTGTTCAAAACAACACACGGGCTGGAGAGATAGCTCAGTAGTTAAGAGCACTGGCTGCTCTTCCAGAGGTCCTGAGTTCAATTCCCATCAACCACATAGTGGCTCCTAGCCATCTGTGATAAGATCTGATGCCCTCTTCTAGCATGCAGGTATATATGCAGAGCACTCATACATAAAATATAAATTAAATAAAAAAATTTTTAAATTTCAAAACAGTGAACAAAAATAGAGAAGACTCAAGTATTTGGATCTAGCTGTCAGCTGCCATGGCCTCAGCTGTAGGCAAAATGGGTTCAAGAGTGATTCATTCATCGGTGACCTGTTTAGAGATGCCCTGCCATGCCTTGCCACAAAGATGTGGAGTTGGCTATTGATTCTGGGATCCAGCAGACGCCCTCAGACAGAGACAGACGTATTTATTTCCAGATGTCTTTTAGGGCTCGGAGCATGGCTGTGCTGTTAGGAAGTGATTTTGGTTGGAGGGAGAAGACTGAAGGCCACTCCCAGGGCACTTGAATTTAAAGTCCTCCACTGGTGACAGGATGTCCCAAAGCTTCTATTTCGGGCAAGCTCAGGACAAGAGACACACAGGGGTGGGGTGAAGTATTGCTTTCATTCCTCTCTACCCTTTCAGGGTGTTAGCACTTTAGCAATTTAGAAGTCGTGGCTCCTGCAACTTGTCCCAATTATGAGCCCCGAGACGGTATCTGGGGAGCAGGTAAGCATGCCCCCTCCCTTACCTTCCTTCTTTTCTTCTTTCAGGAGCCAGCAAAGCAACACTACTTCTCCAAGCACGACAACCGCACTTCCTACGACAAAGTGAGTGCTGGAAAGAGGAAGGGGGAGGAGCCCCTGGCTGACAGAGGATGGAGCCGGTAGGGTAGAGATAAAACCTTTAGGAGAGCAAAGGTTTCTCAATTAAGCATCTATTTCCCCTAACCTTTCCCACGGCTGAATATTCCATCCCCCAGACAGGGGCAACTCTGCCTTGGTTTTCTTGGCTAGTTTGTCCAGCAGTGTACAAATATCCCAGGGGACCCCTCAGGGGCTTCATGCTAAAACGGATGACCTTACTGAGAATGCAGGGTATATACAGGCTAGGGAGGCCAGGCACAGCCCCATCCTTACCGAGCTGACGTGGGATTAGATGGGGTCCAAGCAAATCCTGGACGCTGAGACTGTGGGCCAAGGGCCCGTACCGTTGAGGAGGGCCCCTACTGCCTGCTGCAGGGGATCGGAAGACGCAAAGACCTGGAGCGCCTGTGGAAGAGGCACACCTTCCTGCGCTGGGCGCCCTGCGAGCTGGAACTGAGCCAGCAGCCACCTCTGGAATCTTCCTACCAGACTGATTTCCGGTCAGGCACAGGACTCAGTAGGCTCCCCCAGCGCCTTGTCCACTTTGTGCAGGTCCAGCCCCCCTATGCGAGCACCACTTACCAGCACAATTTCTGCAGGCCGGCCTGGGATGGCCGCTGCGATAGCGCCAAGGTAAAGCCCCAAGAGCCAGTCACGGAACCCCTGCCTGACCTCCCAGGGATCCCCAGGCCCAAATTGCTGCAGCATTACCTTCACGCTGGGGTCTCTGAGTGTTTAAACTGGTCCCAAGCATTAAAAGCCTGACAGAGCAGCCTGTTGGTACTGACAGCAAAAGATGTCTGAGCGGCCTGCGATCAGCTCTCTGCCAGCTCCTGTGTCTGGCTCCCACGGCATGTGTGCCAACGTTTGTGTGCTGGGCGGAGGAGAGGCTGCCAGGGAGCCCGGCCACTAAGTGAGAAAGGATAGGACCCGCAACAGACAAGAGTCCAAGAGGGTTGCCTTGACCCTGGGTGGATTCTAGGGGCCCAATAACTTGAGTGACCTCTTGTGCTCAGTGTAGCTACAGGGAACACAGAACCTGAGGATCCTACTGGTGAGCAGCCAAGGCTGAGGGAGAAGCAAGGGCTGGCAGCTCCCTCCAGGAGCCATGAAGGGTTTGGCCACTCAGCCACACAGTCCTGCCCCAGAGATGCCTCCCGCCAAGGAGACTGCCCCAGCCACCACACCACCACGCTGCTGCTCCCCTTGCGGTTGTGCGAACCTTTGAGGAGACCCCATGTGACCTGGATCTGAAGGTCATCCTAACCTTGTGAAATTTTATTGTTTTGGGGAGTTCTCTGGTCATCCTACCAAGTCCCCTGATACCCGAGACGCTTTATGTTACCTAATACAAAGCTGATGCCTATGTGGAGTTGAGACACCAGGTCACTTTAGGTATGGTTAGGAGGCTTAAGAGGCTCCCTGTGGACTCTCATCCCCGGGAGAGTTGAGGCCTTTAAAGGAGAGGAGGGCAGAAAGAAAAGCATGAGAGTCTGCGTCAGAAGCCGCACACCAGATTTTATCAGTATTTTTATTTCTACATCAAAACTCCCTGGGTCCTCACAACAGCCCTGTGAGGTAGGTGGGGCAGGAAAGTTTCAGAGATCCCCATTTACAAATGAGGATGCCCAGGCACAGAGAGGTGAGACATCTTGCCCCAGGTCACACAGCCATCAGTAGGGAGGGCTCCAGCCAGAAGTCCTCTGGCCCTCCAGCATTCCCCATATCCTCTCCTCTGTTTCTTCTGTGATCTCCAGCCTCAGAATACTCCTGGGGTCCACAGGGACCCTCAGGGAAGGCTGGAAGCTCAGCCTTTTCCAGAACGGCCACTGGAGAAGGCCTAGTCAACTCTTGGGGCCTATCCTGCGAGGCCAACGCTCTCCTCGTCACACTTCAGAGTTGACCAAGGGCCTAGTAAGTGCTAGGGCATGGGTAGAGCTAGCTATGGTTTGTGAGTAGATGTTGGTAAAAATAGGTGTACGCATGTGTGTCCTGTGCTAAAGACAAAGGATCCTCCAACCCCAGTCCCTGAGGCGGTAACTCAGGTTCCCTTTCCTGTGCCTCCCTCATCCTACAGAGCCTTGGGGAGCCCCCTCAGCAGTGAAAAGGAGCCCAATCTGCTTCTCTACTGAGCTGCTCTGGTAGACAGGTCTCCCCAGGCCTTCAGACCCCATCGCGCAGACACAGTGCCTCCACAGCTTGACTAGGGCCCTGGGCCACACCCCCAATCACGAACAGCCGGGGCCCCGCCTGCAGGCTGGAACAGGAGCATCGGGCTGTAGGCATGGCAGGTAGTGCCTCCCAGCGTCGCCGGGCAAGACTGAAGCTCTCCACGGAGGCCAGAGGGCATGGCTGGTTCCCTGGAGGAAGGAGAGGTGGTGATGAGGGGCTGAAGACTCCCTTTTGCCCCCTTTCCCAAACAATGGCCCCGTAAGTACCACTCCAGAACAAGCTATCAGAACATTGCTCTTCCTTGCCCAGTTCATCTTTGTCCATTCACGCTTTGACCATCCATTGGGTCCCTTTCAATCATCTGTTCTGCTTCTATTAGGGCCCCCAGTCAGGCACTGGGGGACACCCTGAGAGCTGGGACAATCGCAAGCTCCCTGGTTTCCAGATGGGCAAAATGCTCCCAAAGCTCTGACCCCAGAGTCTAGAGAAGGTAGCCCTGCTAGGAGATACTCTTTCCTGCCTTATGCCTCTTCCTCAGCTCCACAGAGACTTACCAAGGCCCCCAATAGCCACAATGTTGCCCCCGAGGGAGCCAACCACAAAGTCGGCCCTCTTATCCCTCATTCGAAGGCTACGAGGCAGCTTAGTCCAGGACCCTGAAGGAGAGAAGACTAAGATGTACGCGCACAGACGACATACACAGACGTGAGGGGACAGGTACACAGACACACACACACACAGATGCCCCTGCCTCCCATGGGGAGCAGGACAGCCTAGAAGAGGCGTCGCTCACCATGCTCCAGGTCAAACATCTCCACGGTGTTGACAAAGTGTGGGCGGGAGTAGAAGTTGTGTGGCCCAGGCTGCTGTAGGCCACCCAGGCTAAAGACAGTGCCCTCAGCCATAGCACAGCCGGCAAAGGCTCGGCGGCTGGGCAGGCTTGGGTGTCGGGTCCAGGTACGGGTCTCCAGATCGAAGGCTTCAAAAGCAGTCACTGGGAGCTTGCCCTGGCGGCCTCCTGTCAAAGGAAGTGAAGTTCCTGGGACAGAGCCCAGAGGACTTGGTGGCATCCTGACCGGGTGGCTGAACTGTCCATCCCCGACTCCTGCACCCAGCTGTGTACACACCTGAGACCACATAAGCCCTCAGGCACTGAATTTGATTTCCCAACCCCTGTTGGGCCCTACCAAGGAGGCCTTAGAATGGGTCTGGATTACCCCCAACAAAACTTCTCAAATCCTAACATCTCAGACTAAGATTGATTCCTAATCCGGACAACCTACGGGGAAGGAGACATCTGGACTCCCCCCGCCCCTTCCCCACATGCTTCAGCCCTTACCCAGGACATAGATCTTGTTCCCGTGCAGGAAGGTGGAGGCCCCGTAGCAGGGTGTGGGCATAGAAGGTAGAGAAAGCCAGCAGTCCCGGCGGGGCTCATACACCCGTACCTGGGCCTGGGGGGCCGTGTCGGGACCCATTCCCCCCAGAGCATACACCATACCATCTGCACAGAAAAGAGTGGTTCAGAGCTCACAACCATGTCTGGCTGGTGATTCCGGCCCTGACAGCTCCCTTGGTCAGGCCCAGGGGTGGATGGAGACCCATGTGTTTGTCAAAAACTTTGTTGCCCATCTGAAGTGGGAGCTAGGAGAGCTGGGATTCCAGCTTTGGCCTAGGCCCCTCCAAGTGAAGAGCAGGAGGCAGCCGATCTAATTATAATCCAGCACAGTCTCCTTGGAGACGCTATGGCAACCAAATCTGGCATCTAAACAGGCTAGCCTGGAGTGGTGGTCAGACCTGGAGGCCACAAGGTGTGTGTGTTTGTGTGTGTGGAAGGGGGCCTCCCCTAACGGGGGAGGAGGGGTAGATCAAGAAAGTGGTAGAGGGATGAAGAGAATTGCTCCACGTGAAGCTCAGTCTGGGAAGGGAACTAAGGGGATCAACTTGGGGGGAGGCCTAGGGCCGGGAGATGAGCCTGGGCCTGTAGGACAGAGCCTTGAGCGCCTGCATCTGGTCAGCACCACCACACCATGCTGTTTCACTGGAGTAGGTTCTTGCCTTCTGTTAGGCGCTCAGAGTCAGCTAGGGGCACCTCGACAGGCCTTTGGGTGATGTGTCAGGCAGCTGGGGGCTTCCATGGCAACCATCTCCAGGTCGGCTTGGCCTTTGTCCACATCAGGATCCCTGGTGTGTGTGTGGTGGGGGGAGGTCTAAGCGCTTAAGCACTTGCTGGGCTCAGAGCCAAGGCCCTGCTCCCCTCCCCCACTCCAGACTATTTATAACCATGGGAGTCATTAGGCCACACCCCCCACTGTCTCTTAGTAACAAAGACTAGGACAGGGTAGTGGCTGGGGTCTCCTGTCTTTCTGGGGGGTCTCCTGGGCTCTGACCCCCCCCCACCTCATAGCCCAGAAAAGGCAATGAACAGCAAATTACAGAAAGCCTAGGTAAGGGAGGAGACAGGAGACAAAACCATGTCCAAGGCAATGCCTCTCCAGTCTCTGAGGAAACAGAGAGAAAATGAAGACTGTTGGGGCACCTGAGGGACCTTCCCTGAGCCACTCACCTCTCTCCACAGTCGCAACCCCCATGGCTGCTTGAGGGAGGGTAGCCCGACGCTCCCAACGGCCTTCATCAGCCAAGAAGGCCTCCACAGCAGCTACTGGGCTCTGGACTTCATCCACGCCACCCACCACCAGCACCTGCTTACCCAGAACCACAGCAGCTGCACCGGCCCGGGCAGTGGGCAGGGGTGCTAACGCTAGCCATGTGTGTGAGGCCATGTCCAGTGTCTCGGCAGTGTCCAGGGGTAACCCAGCCCGGCCACAGCCCCCCAACACCAGCAGGTGCCCGTCCTGGTGTGCCACTGTGCCATATACCCGGCAAGTGGGCATGGGGGGGAACACCTGCCAAGCAAAGGCCCGGCCACCTCCTGCAGCCATGTTGCTCACTGCCGGTGGCAGGCCATGCTCTTTGCTCAGGCTGTGGGCCTCACTGGGGGGACACAAGAGGGCCTCATCTTGATTCTGCCAGGGCTGTAAGGGTGTGTCTGACCAGTCCAAGGGACCTTGCCTTCACCTGGAGGAGAGATGGAGAACAAAGGATCAGGGCCACTGTCAAGAACCAGATGAGTAACCTGTAGCTAAAGGCAGGCCAGGCCCCAATCTCTGGTGGGAAGGACCCCGCCCCCTTTGACTAGCACTTGACTGAAGATGCTTCTGTGGTGGGAAGGAGAACAGACTCCAGATACCCAGACAGCTTTCTCACTTCCTATAAGGGCATGAAGGGCTCTCCCCATCCCCAACCCCAAAAACTAGCAACTAGACGCTTCATCACTTAGAGTGGAAGGGGAGTCAAGAGACGAGACCCCAAGGTTCCATCTTAGTGCCCTTCCTTCCCAATAAGACTTAGCCTGGTTTTCCAAGAGAGGAGTCCTGGACCCTCTGCACACTGTCATCTAGTGTCCCTTGAAGAAACTATTAGGGTCCCTCACCTGCAGTCCTTACAACAAGGAGCGTCCCATTCTACAAAGTACAACCATTTCTATCTGCAAACAGCCAATCTTAGGTGTGAGGGATTCAAAGGGACAGACCTCGGGAT